GTGAGAAAGGGAGTCTTAGGAGCGGACTTGAATCTGATTCTGACTCTGATGTATCCTATCTGGATTGGCAGGGGTGCCAGAAACAGCAGCTTGAGTCTATTGTCATTTTATCTACCTTAAAAGCTCTTTCTTTTTGCGTAAAGCAATCTTACTATGCATTTTGTACCGTCCTTTAGACTCTACCATACAGACCAACAAAACAGTCTTGCAATACTGATAGGCCTGAAGGTAGAGGGGAACAATTGACTTGCACTTTGTCATGACAGATTTACAGCACAGGAAGACCACTTGAAAGAATGTTTCAGACTACTTTCAAATAGAATTTTTTGTGTGTTTGATCTGGAGGAGGCAGCATGTACCTTCCTGGGGTCCCAGAGAATGGAACGGAAAGCAGGACAGACTCCTCTGTCTGAACTTTGAAGTTAAACAAGAACAAACTTTAATCATTGGTGGAGACCTGTTCCAAACATGTTTTGATGTCTAGCGTCTGATATTTAAGCGTGCTATAATAGATAGGGAAGACTGCATGGGATTCACAAAGCTTGGAACAAAATACAAATTTTTAAATAAAAATTTAAGATAGATAGTCATTTATACTCTTTTTTGTTCAACTCTGTTGAAACTGCAAAGTTGTCTTCTATTGCTGACATTCCATGCTTTACACTCCATGCTGCAAGTCATTTTATGGATATTTTGGGATGCTAGACCACATAAAGGAAGATGAGAAAACTCCTTGTTTCTTAACTAAGAATTAAAACCTACATTTTACTTGGTGACACTATTAATTACAATTGCCTGTACTCGCTTTGTTCTTTAACTGTTTTATTGTCATTTATAATTAGCTGGTATGCTTTTAGAGCAAAGACTGTGTCTGATAGGTTAATATCACATACCCATCACTCTCCATTTAAATAAAATGTGTTGTCATGTATGCTGTGTTGTAAAAGACTGAAATAGATGAAATTTGTGGTATCACATATGCAGAAACCATGGCTATACAAAGAGAGGCCAGTATTTCATTCTGTAGTCTAAATTTCATTTTCCTTTGGATTAAAGTTTGCTTTAGAATTATTTTGCAATAGAGCAGATTTCATTTTTTAAATAGAACTAAACTAGGAGCTAAAGGAAAGCTTAAAAAAAAAAAGTCTGTCACCTTTATATTTGGACTTCCCAAGCATTTCTCTCATTGCTTCGTTCTGTCTCATATTTCATAGCACATTTCTGTGAAAAGTAAATGAATCACCCACATATATAAAAATATTTCTTAACACAGACAGATGGATATGGATTTATACATACAGAAATTTACACTCATATACACAACACGCATAGGTATATAAAATATGGTCTTAGAATAAGAATAAATGTGTGTACAGCTATACTGAATACTTGGTGGTATGTTGTAGAACCCTTGGGTAAGTTTTTATGGATTTGATTTATTGGCTGACTGAGTTGATTCATTATTTGTATATGATTTTTTGCTGCTGGGTGGCCATAATTTACAATTCTGGACCTGGTTAACTCTGTGGGTGCCTCGAGATTTCTGTATGAACATCTCTGACTATTGTTTAAAGAGATAAATGAAGTGGACTTGCTTGAATGAGCAATTTACTCATGAGGAGCAAAATGTGGTCAGGCAGGCAGGTCATAGATAATAGCTTTCAATAAGTCTTTGTAAGTCAGCATACTATCATATGTTCTCTCAGAGTGCAGATGATAATCCATACATGTTACAGGCAACTGAAGATCATCTGTGATCACAATCTTTTTCTCTTATTAGAATTCAGTGCTATTCTTGTATTACCTCTACTTGCAAAGCCCTGATAGACCTGCTGGTAGGGACAGGACAGAACAAAACCCTGAAGAGGTGTGAAAAGTCAAAAAGTGGCTTGGCTTCATTTCGGTATAAATGAAACACGGCAGGCACTTTCAGAACTGGACTGAAAGCTTTGGCAGTTTGGCAGAGTGATCCTTTTCCCATAACACACAGTATCTACCAGAGTAGTGCAATAAAACTTTTTGCTGTATCTTGTTTACAGGGAAGAGAGGACTTACCTTTGTATTCAATATGGCAACAACTCTTCTGGAGTTTTGGGGTGTAATGGCACACTGCCTGTCCCCTTTTTGAGCCTTTATACCATTTGCTGCTATAAAGTCCAGCTGGTGTAGTCTGGGGCAGGGGCAAAAATATGAGAAGAGCCAAAGCACTCAGATTAAAATGCCTTCATTAACTGTTAATATCCACAGACTATAATTTGAATTTGCAGGATTTCAGATACTGTCACCTAAAGTGATTTGAGTCTTTACTGCTCTAAATGCCGGATATGAACTGGACTTACTGAACATGAACTTAGTAAGACAAAGAAAAGTAGCAGTGATTCTTCATGTGTTCCTACCAAATTTCACATGAATGTGTTTCATCATGTCCTTTCGTGCTTAAAGCCATTGGTCTACAGTCCATAGGTATTTCTGAGGTTTCCTGTTGTGAGGAAAAGTGGCAAACATTGCACACAGACAACGTAAGTTTGTCACAGCTGCAGTTTTCATTTGCATTGTCTCATTAATAAACAGAAGGGCTTGATCAATTTTACCAAGATGGTGGGTACTTAATTGTTACAATTTAATGAAAGACTTTAGTAGTTACCAACCACCCACCAGCGGAAGTTTGCTTTTTTTCTAGCCATCTGTGGCTGTTCCAGTTACAGATGTATAATTCCACATCCACTTGTGGTACATTTTATTGTAGCTGTGTAATTCATCACAATTCCATGTGTCATAACCATCACTGTAGCTAAAGTTCTAAACATTTCTTACATTTTCAGAAAAACAACCAAACAAACAGAAGATCAGCGAAGGAAAACCCTTTGCAAATGCATTCGGAATTCCATCTTGGAAGCACGACTTCCTCCAGTAGGCATGTCACATCTTAGGAAGTCTACCTCAACATCCATGAGGGAATGTTTCCTCTGCCTCTTCTTCCTTATCTAAATCTCAAATAACTTGGAAGAAAAGCAGCTTTCAATGATTTTTTAGTTGTTCATATGTTTCTGCTTTAATGCTGCTTCTCTCCATCTATGCTTTGAAGAGTCTTGTGGTGATTCCTACAAGAAATTCCTAGGAAAACTCTTGCTGGAGGTTACAATTTCTGCAAGAAATGCAGTTGTGTCGTATTATAATGGATTGGAATGGGATTTTATTAAGTGGTAAAATAACAGAGAAGCACGAATGGTACTGAATGTCAGTGGGACATAGAGGACGTATGAAAATCACTGCTTTCAGTTTACATGGGTTTGAAATCATCAGATGAGTTGGTAAATTCCTGTGATATGTAAATACATTTCTTTGTTAAATCCAGTGCATTCATTATTGATATACATAAAAAGTATATATTTCTGCATGTGTATTTGGATATACAAAAACCACAAGTGGAAATCTTTCTAAAACTGTTTTTTTAAAATTCCTTGCATAGATTAATCGGAAAATAAATCACTTTCTGTGATTTAGGGAGCTGTAAACCAGTAATAATTATAGATAGACTTCTAGTTATATTTTACATTCCCTGCTCCTGCTTACCAGTTCAGGCAGTCAGCAGTCTAAAACTTCGCGTAGATTCTTGAAAAATGTGTATTTGCAGGCCACCTTTATTTTTTTCATTCTTCATGCCTCAAATCCCCACTGAAATTTCGGCGTTACCGGCTTCCTGGATGACAGAGGACATTTCTCTTCTGTTCTCAAGCAGCGAGTGCCAAAGGCAACGGGCTGAGATTTGTATGCAAGACTACCTACGTTACACGTGCACGTCCATTTATCTCAATAACTGACTGTCATCTCCGCGCGCCCACATCTTACAATGATAATAAGAGCCCAACGCTGCTCAAGATGTCGAATTTTCAGGGATGGATTTCTAGCTGCAGGCAACCCCGGCTAAATGCCTCATATTGAGAACACTCTCCTCCTTGTCACTGACCGCATCAGACCCTTTCATGTAGCTGCATATGTGGCTTTTATTTGTTGTGGACTTCCACCCCTGCCTTGAACTGCGGTGGTTTTCACAAGTGATTTGACTCTTAAGCACATGTTCACTTCAAAATGTAGTTAATGCAATTAAGGAACATTTTTGTGTGTTGAGGTAATGTATTCAGCTGCCTATACAAATTTTGCTGCGTTTTGGTGAACTTTGAAACTTGTTCAACCCTTCGGTCAACAGAGTGGGAGAATAAATAGTTTTAAAGGAAGATCAGATATTTTCATAGGCGTTTAATAGGAATTTTTATATAACATAATAAGATTTGGAATCACAGAGGGTAAGTATGTTTTCTGATTTGGGGGTTATTTGTATTCCGTTATCTTCCGAAAGCTGAATCCAAAATTAAGAGCAGAACGTTATTCATTTCCCAGTAAGAATTTAATTGCTTCTGCCCGTCTGCTTATCAGCCTTTAAAATTACTAATTTAAAGGTGAAAGAACTAAAGAATAAAGAATTTCCTTCACTTCCTTAAGAAATGAAAACCAAAACAAACACAAAATTCATAAATAATAATGAGCACAACCAGCAGTAGGATAGCGTACACATATTTCTTGTCAAGAAAAAGTAATTGCAGCACTTGATGTGAAAATGAGATTTATGTCTAGTACTAATTTTTACTCTCCACCTGATTGTATCAGTACATGGGAAGGGATTGTAGGTTTTCTGGCTGACAAGCATTTAACAGGCCGTTGAACAGCCAGTATTACGTTATGCAGAATGAAAAAAAAAAGAGTAATAGGGGTCCAAATCTGAGAGGTTTTAAAATACTGATATAAAACTCAGAGGCATATTTTTTGTATAAGAGAAAGAAGTTGGGCTAATAGTACTTTTTTTTTCACTTTTTTTTATATGGTTTGGAAAATCACTGTTGGTTCCTTTTGTTTCATTATCTGTAACAAAACATTTTTCAAGTCGATGTTATTAAGTCGCTAATTCATATTAAGGTATTTTTGTCGTCTTTGATTTGTCCTAGATCAGAGGAGGAAAGCTTATGATCACATACACAAGAAAGAATGATGCTGGAAAATATGTTTGTGTTGGAACAAATATGGTTGGAGAACGTGAAAGTGAAGTTGCGGAGCTCACTGTTTTGGGTAAGAATTCCTCCTTTAAGACTTTGTTGATGAAAATGTCCAACTTTCATTTTTCCTAGTAAGCTTTTTATTAAGGGTCATTCTCATCTATTGAAAATGTAGAAAATATTGTTAGTCACGATTGTGTTCCAGCAAATAGGAGGCAGTTAATGGCTCTTCAGTCCACCTGGAACTATTTTTTCTATCAGAAGACACTTTCATACTTAGTTCTCAAACTGAAAATAATTCCAGCGTCCACTGATTGGATCAGTATTGTGTAATAATAGCAAAGCAAAAATGTTAAGAAGCAGAGGCTTGACTTTTCCATCTTGCTGAAGAAAATTAGAATTATTCTAAGTTTCTACTTGAAATACTTATTCTTTCATTTGCAGTTGTGTGTACTAAGTACAACAGGTCTGCTTATTCAAGTGATCCTAATGATAGTTCCTCTCAGCATCAAAAAATATGTTTTCATTTAAGATAACTGAGCTTAGCTGAAAACTACATTTTTTGCTGCTATTGCAGAAACAAATCCTTTACTCCAAATGCAATCTCAGAATTCTTCAGCATGGAAAAACTCCCTCATGTTCACTGCAGATGCATCTTTGGGAGTTTTCATTCAAAATATCTCCCATTTTACTTTAAAATAGGGGAGGCTTGAAGTAGCTTAATTGTTTCTGGAAAATAAATATATGTTTTATCACCATCCAAGGCATGGTTCATAGCACAGTGGTTTCCATCACAGTGCTGCTGCAGCTCTTCTGTTGTTGTTGTTGTTTTTCAGGATGTGAGGCAATGACCTGAAGTTGTGTCAGGAGAGGTTTGGGTTGGATATTAGAAAAAGGTTCTTCACCCAGAGTGTGGTTGGAACATGCTCCTCAGGAAGGTAGTCACAGCACCAAGCCTAACAGAGTTCAAGAAGTGTTTGGATGATACTCCCAGGCACTTGGTGTGACTCTTGGGAATATCCTGTGCAGGGCTAAGAGTTGGACTCGATGATCCTTGTGGGTCTCTTCCAATTCAGCATATTCTGTGATTCTGTGACTCTTTTTGTTGTTTGGTTTTTGATTTGGGGAATTTTTTTAAATTCATGTCTAATAGCTGTCCTGTCAGTCTTTGGCACTTTTATTTGTCTTCACTACTTTGTAGGAGTTAGGACTCAGGCAACTTGAAGATGTGTTCAGAGTCCTATGTGAAGCAGGGGTTTCCATAATAAAAAGGAGTTTGTGTGCCATCTTGAAGTTGTTCAAACTGAATATCCAAACAAGACAGTGGTGTGTAACCCCTTAGAAGCTAAGGAAGACTTTCTGTGATTCACTGCACTGTTTTGGTTTTGTTTTACAAAGACTTCCAAAGCACTTTTGGAGGAAGTTCATTGTCAAATAGACTTATAGAACTTCCAAACAAAATCTGAAATTGAAAGTAAGTTGTAGTTACATGGGTGAAACCCTGGCACCAGGTTCCTATTTAACTGTACCAGTTAATAGCTCATCACTAGTCTACTACCAACCAGGGGATCATGGCGTGGGATATTCGGTAACCTAGGCTGAAAAAATAGTACTCTTGCTAAACACCCATAAGAGAGAGGCATTGCAGGCAGAGGTCTGCCTGGCTTTTTCTTCATCTCGTGTTTCCTTCAAACATATTTCTGATTTTCAGCCTGGGGAAACTAGTGAGGTTTTGTTTTCAAACAGGACAGTAAAGCTTTGAATGTCTTACCAGTGTGTGTCTAGAAATCCTTAATACACCTTATTCTTTCAACTCAGACTTGAGTTGAAAAAGCACGAGAAATATGCTGACTTCATCTATTAAAATATTTCTACATAAATCTTCCATTTATGGGTTTTGGTTATTTAGAAGTTGAACTTTTGCTTTTAGGTCTCTGCTTTAGATCAGAGGGAGAATGCCAGAAACTGTAATATTAGACAGTTTCAAAGTGATCCTTGCTAAGCTTTCCTTGTATGTACCAAATAGTCGTGTGACAAAGATAGATACTGAAATCAGTGCTGATTTCCCTTATCCGTTTCTGCATTTGAATAAGAGTGTTATGAATGGGCAGACAAAAACTCGTGGAAGTCCATTAGTCTTCTTTTAGGAGACTGATCTAGAGAACAATGTGCCTCTTGTGGGTTTTGCAGTCAGGCAGCAGTCCTGGACTTACCAGATCAGTCTTTTTTCTCTTGCATAATTAAGTTGAATATTTTTCCCCAAACTATTCTTGTGCTGAGGTTTAATCCTAAATGTTCTTTTCTTGCATTCAGGTTTCAGGTTTTTTCAGCACCTACAAGGAAGGGGCCAGGGCAGGGGGGGTTGTCTGTATTTGTGTCGTTTTAAATTCACAGCTACATTCTGTAGATCTCTGTTTTATTTCTCACATCTTGTATATGAACCCAGTCTAGAACTGACAGCTTAAAGATCAACTTGCTATTTAATTTAACGTTATTTCCTAATATTGCCAACAAAGTTAAGTTTTCTACAGCATAAGTGTCCAGCTGGTCTAGACATCCTCGAGAGTAAAGGAAGCTTTTTTTAATAGGGCTTTGTTCAGTTCACATTCCCACTTCAGTACTTTTTGAACCATTCACTAAGTTTTTATAATACTGAATCTCTGTATCTTTATCTGCAAAGTCAGAGTAATATTTAGAACTGCCATTTTCAAACACAAATGTGAGACATGAAGAGTATGGGCTTGTCTTTTTATCCTTCTGTCGGGTGCTTTTGTGCTTCTGTGAGAAATTTGTGACGTATTTTTGGGTATTCACACTTCCTGATGGTGCCAACGGCTTCAGACTCTTCCAGTTTCAAGGAGATGATATTTATATCTTTAATAAATGCAAGTCAAAACATGCAACTGCCTTCTCAACTCCCTCAGAGCTTTCACAGGTTTATAGGCAAAATGGTCATCTGCCTCAGGCAAAGGAACCTGCCAAGTGCTCTCCTGTTAAACCTTCCCTGCACTCTGCAGTTAAACCTCCCCAGTTCTTTTATGGACATACTGTTGTCATCTGGTGCTGCTTTTTTAGATGGGTAATCATTCCTGGAGTATCCCAGAAATTGTTTAAAACAGTTTTTTTTCCTTGTGAGTGTGCAGACCTCATTACACTCCAGTCTGGTGTGGAACTATGAAAATATGAATAGCTCAGCACCATAAAACTTTGAACCCTGTTGTGGGTAGAAGAGTGTGTCAATACCTTTCCTGAAATTTGCAGCTAATATCTGGGATGCCAGAATAGCACAGCCTGTACTGAGATCCCATTTTGTTTCAGAAATTCTGAGGACAAATATGCAGCAATTAATCTGACTCTGGTGAGCCAGGACTTGGATCATCTATGTCTTCCAATATAAGTTGGGATAACAGTAATTTTTATGAACAAAAACTACAGAGAAGACATTCTGAGGGTTTTTTTTGGCTTGCTTTACTTTATATGTGCTAGTGAAAGAAAATGTGGCCTTTCTAATGTAGCATTGGAAGTTCTTGCATCGAACACTTGCTACTGCTGGCACCTGCAAACAACTTCCTAGAGATACTGTGCTGGGCCTTACTTAGCCTTCAAATTTAGAGGCTCCACTGAGACAAAACCTCCAGTGAGACTGTTTGGGTTGTGCCTTCTGTCTCTTTGAAACAGTGCAGCAGTGGTCATTTGATGAGTGGTCATTTGAGTCATTGCAGCTTTCTATCAGAGGATGGATGTGTATTTAGATTTTGTGTTTAGACTGTGTTTTCCTTTAGCTGTGACAGGGATGTGTAAGAAGTAAGGAAGTCCCTGCTTGGATCCTGAGCCACTGCTGAGAGTGTCTGCCTCTTGCTGAGGTCCACAGTGCTGGCCGTCTGCAGGGCTACAGATCTTCTGCTTGGGGCTGTGAGCGAGAAAAGCAGCGGCAGAGGCACCTCCATCAGATCTGTCACTCTGCTCCCCTTGCTCTGACAGTTCAGTGACAACTGTGATTCAGACACAGAACTGCTGGATTAATCCTTTTTTTTTTCTTCTCTTTCCCTTTAGAGAGACCATCTTTTGTGAAGAGACCGAGTAATTTGGCAGTAACTGTGGATGACAGCGCGGAGTTTAAGTGCGAGGCAAGAGGGGACCCAGTCCCTACAGTAAGGTGGAGGAAAGATGATGGGGAGTTACCAAAAGCAAGGTACAATACATGGAGTTACCTTTTTATGACATCCAGCTTGGTGTATGATGTGACCATTCAACATTTGACAGCCAAAATTTCTTTTTCATGAATAGAGGCCTGTCTTGATCTAAGAAGACGTTTGTAATTACCATTGCGCTCTACTTAAAGTTACAATTTGTGTTGAAAGTTAAGAACAACCTCTTCTCAAGTTGTTGCAACAACACATGACAAAAAATAACCCAGTTCAGTCAGTAATATCAGATACACATTAATTCTTCACCTGAAGAGACTTTTGTGATTACTAAAAGTTTTGGAGATCGTATAACAAATAGTAGAATAGATTACAACATCAAGAAGTCTATATTAGAATTGCAATTGGTATAAAATGTAGTCTGGTAGTGTAGAAAGCTGCCTTGGTTGTACATGTTTTTGTTGCCAAGTTTCCAATTAACTAGTTTTTCTGACATTGCTTTAATTCAGGACAAAAAGTAAGATACCTTATTAAAAATAAATACATTCTCTGATAGATAAATAGATGGATGGATAGATACAGACAGACAGACAGACATAGATGGATTAATTACTTATTTACTTACTTTGAAATTCTGATTATCAGTTTTAAAAACTATTGGGGGAGTGGACTGAAAAAAGAAACCCTTTAACAGTTGGCTTCAGCCATCCAAATCCAGCTTCCTATTAGCCTAGTCTATAGCTTTAATAAAAACTACATAATTTTTAAGAGAAAAATCTATTTACCATAAAGAGAAACACATTGACTGCATTATACAAAAAGCGAAAAAGGTGATGAAAGGAGAGAAAGTGGTAAAAGGCCACATTGTTCTTAAAAAAAAAAAATGAATTGTGATTTATCTTGACTTTCAAGCAATTCTGATCTTCTTGAGTACAATATTTTCTTTTCAACCATATTAAAAAAATCATCCAGATGGAAAAATTGTAGGGAGAATAATAACTACTATTGTATTTACTTGTTAAAAGTATTTTAGCAATAAAAATGTTCTGTGTTAGGGCTTTGCAATTGTATTATGCTTATGAAATTCTGCTGTCAGTTAACTCATGTTGCAAGTAATATCAGAATAAAGTTTTCAAATATTTAGATATATTTTGTTCTTAAAACTTTATTTTGCATTATCAATTTACGTGCTTATACCTTTCTCCCTTATGGGAAATACAGCAATAAGAATATTTGAAGCAAACCCACCATACCTTTACCCTTTGCAGAAATTGTACAAAGTTCCATTATTCCTATCCATTGTTTATTACTGTGTGTATTTAAAGATACGAAATCCGTGATGATCATACCTTGAAAATCCGGAAAGTTATGGCAGGAGACATGGGATCCTATACTTGTGTTGCAGAAAATATGGTTGGAAAAGCTGAAGCATCAGCGACTTTAACAGTTCAAGGTAAGAATGTTTCTTTGCAAAATACTGGAATAAAGCTGATTTTTTTGCACAACAGCTTTATAGAGTTGCTGTAAACAAACTACTTGAGACCATACACAACTATTAGAGTTGCAGCTTATGCAGGGACTCTCTGCTGTATTGTAAAAAAAAAAAAAAAGTGGAAATACAAATTTGACTTGAGTTGTGTTCTGAGGAAATGGAAACACTTCACATGTAGGATTTTTTTGTGAGCAGTCTTTACGGTATTGGGATGGGGATGTTTTGAATTTCAGTTCTTCAAGTTCAGAATCATGTCACTTGCAATCTTTGTATCTGAAACCCTAACAGAAAGAACAAAGTCAATTTTTTCAATTATATATAGTAAAGAAGCAGCGAATGATAAATCTGTTTGTGTATTTTTTAATGCAGTAACCCAGACCACTGGAATTCCTGTTGGTTTTTTCATTATAAAAGCGTATCATGGCACTACTGGCTCTTTGTAAGATAAAAATTCAGTGGAACTCAGTGAACTAATATGTATAAAAATCCTTCATTGCCTTTATATACACAATCCAGATGTTCACTATTCAGATAATCCCTCTCTTCCTTTCCTGGCTAGCAGACAGGCAATGATGTAATCCTAATGCTTTTTTTCTAGGCACTGATGGTTCTTCTGTCCTTTTCCCTGTTCAGTGGGAATTAGTCATTATGGAGTTCTGGAGAAGGATAGGCTTAAAAGTATTTTATTTGGTAACAGGCCTCTATTTTGACACATTTACTGTAACAGGAAAGGTCTTGTCCTTAACCTGCTTTCCTTTTTCCAACAGAAACATTTGGTGTCCCTCTGTTAGGAAAATAGGAATTCTTTTGCTGAAGTTCTCATAAAACCAAGAATTTTTAGATGTTCTGTTTTGTTAGTCACCGTGATGTTTATACATCAAAACTGATACCTTATGTTTGTAAAATAACCAGTTCTTATGATCAGTGTTGCAGAATAAAAGATGAACATGTGAGCACTGAGCACAGTTTATTTAAAAGAAATACTGAATTATTTTTTTAAATGCTGATGTGTTCTGAAGATCAGCTGTTAAACCTGTAAAATGTTAGTATTAAGAAAATTTGCTTTATGACTGGTTGAGCAGTTATTTTTCTGGAAATAAGCTATTGGTAACACTAATCCTTCATAGTCCTATTCAAAATAAGAAGCAAACACGTTCTTGTAATCCCGTTTGTGTTAATGGTGCTATTAGATATAAAATGACTTAAGTATGTAGATGTTAGAGTCAAGTGAGATCTTTTTTGATAATAAACTGGTATTTTTAAGGAACATGATCATAGCTTAAGTCCTGATTCAGCAAGATTCTAATTTTTTAAGTAGTTGTATTACACAGTAGATATTTATATTTTAACAGCTTTGCTCTGAGGATATTGTTATGGGATAATTTGTTTCCCAGTGTGAATGGATTACCTCCTGAGCCATTTGTCTGCACTAATGTCTTTGTAGAAGGGATTGATGTGAGAAACTGCAATGTGTAAGGCCAATTTGTAGTTGGTAATGTAGTAAATTATGATCAAAATCCATTTATTAGCGTATCCGAGAGACTGAGTTTTATGGGAAGAAAAAAAGTACTCCTCTAGAAAATGTATTTTCCATTCAGACTTTTTCCTTCTTTTTCTACCTTCTCCTTTTCTTCCCTCCTCTTCCCTTCTCTTCCCCCGTTTAAAATGCTTAATTTTTTTCCTAAAGGGTCATCTTCTTGACTTTATTCCATCTAGAGAGGTAGTTTTGATCTTGTTTCAGTGCTAAGCTGATATTGTTCTGATTGCTTGCAGACACACAGTTCTTTGAGGTTTTGGGTTTTGTGGGTTTTTTTGAAAGATCTTATGATTTTTTTTTTTTCCTGGTGATTGAAGGAATGCAAATAACAAGTCTTTTTTGCACTTCTGGTAGTTGTCACGTGATCTGTTGACTGTGGAGTTTAGTAGATGTGTGTTCTTGCTGTTATTTTTGTTACCTATTTGTAAACAGAGGGCTCTGCTGCAAATCACAGCCCCAGAAGTTATAGCTGCCACTGTGCAGTCCGGTTAAATTCATAAAATGGCAATGAGAGGGTTGGCCTTGGTTTTGGGGTCGTGTGGGTTAGGGTTTTTTGTCTTGGGTCTTTGTTTTGGGCTTTATTTCCCATTCAGTAACTCGGCAACAGGCTGCGGTGTTTTCGTGCCAGACCATATGCCCAAGAAAGAATATGAGAGTTGTTAGTGGTGACCCCAGATGTGTGTCCATGTTAGGAAAGGGGCAGTTGTCACCTGTCAAGTGTCTGCACACTGGAAGTGCTGCACTGCAATGGAACGTGGCACACAGCAGACAGGGCTCCTGGGGACACTGCTCGGGCTCAGGGCTTGTAAGCGCTGCTAAGAAGAGGACATATCTCCTTCTCTACTCATCATTTTTTGGGCCTCAAGCACTGTGGCTGACCTGTGTATGCTCTGTCAGGTGCAGGGTTATCCAGGGTGTTAAAAGGCGGAGTGTGCAGCACCAGAGCTAATTGAGATACCCGGGTGTCAGGGAGGTGTTGATGTAACACGGCCAATAACCAACCTGGTGTCTCGGCAGAGCTGCTCTGGGCCTGGCAGGGTCCTTTCCTCCAGCTCAGCTCTGGATGGAGCAGACACTGGAGTGCATTGTGCATGCCCTGCAGGGCTCCCTGTCTGGGGAATGCTGCACAGCTCTGCCTCAGAGCTGGTGAGTGGACCCAAACTGTCCCCCTGGACTAGGAACTGTCAATTTGGATAGTTCGACTCTCCCTCTCTCTGTATGAAATAAACTCTTCACTGTAGAAAATACAAAAGAGGGGAGGGAATATAAATTCCATGTGCTCATCAGTAGCATCACAGATGCTCATTGTTGAAATCACTGTTTTCTTCTATACAGGCTCCTAACTTTGGGGATTGTGTTTCCTACATGAAGTACAGATGTTGCATTCTTATTGCAACTTCAGCCATGTTCTTAAAGTAAATTTGGAGTTCTGTATTAACACAGAACTTTGAACCTTTATCTTAAGTCTTTTACTGTTACTGCTTAGAAGCATTTTCATCCCTGAAACTGTGAAGTTACCTTATTTTCTCCTTGGAAAATAAATGGTTAAGAAAATGTCATCCTGATGTTGTTTGCATTTTCCTAAAATTAGAGAGGCTCAGTCTCCTGTTTTCATTTTGCAACAATGTGTACTGCATCTATAAGGCATCCAGAGACGTTGCTAAATACATGTGGAAGCATTTCATTCAGGAGATGATTAATTATTAAATAAATACCTCAGTCAATAAAAAATACCAGGAAGCAGCCCAGAGTACATTTTACTTTGCTAAACATTGTATTTTACCAGGTAGCTGATGTGCTCCAGAAAAGGGAAACAATGGTCCAAAGTCCTTCTCTGGAGCCAGTGGATTTCTCTCTTGCTCTATCACTAAGCAAGTTGCATCTAGTTATTTATTTATATTGTATTTTATATATATGCAAAATGCTTTTCATGTTTTGTGGAGGTTTCTGTTACATGATTTGCTTAGTTTTATGCCTTGAAACAGGACTGTAGAAATAATGATATTATATATTTAATTATTACATATATAATTGAAGACAATGTTCCTAAGACACACAAAATTACCAAAAACTTCATTTCTGAAAGAGAATTAGTTTTACTATTAGTGCATATAGAAGCAGGGCTTCTTCAAGGGTGCAAATTCCATGTTTTACCATGAAAATGCTTTTAAGCAAATCTAAGAACCAAAGGTTTTATGTATTTTCACCTGCTTCCATTTGCTTTGCTCCGATTTGCAGTACTTAATTAGGCTTTTTTTAACAGCTAGTTTTATAATAAGTTTATAATTTATGGTGAAACGAGCTGTACTCTCTGCAACAAGTGTAAGTTATGGCTCCAGTGGAAGTGCAGTTGGCCAGGAACCATTGTAGCAGTGACAGGGTAGATACTTGTCAGCAAGGAGTTAAGAGAAACAGGCCAAGGAGGTCATTTGGCTTGAGGACTTCCCAAGAATCACCAACACTGTGTCTGTTGGTGACTGTGGGTCAGCCACCAGCAGGTTGGCAGTGAACAACAATCTTTGAGTTTTTCTTCACTCTCCTTATTCAAGTAATGACTCTGGAGGAGTGTGCAGTACTTATTACAGTGCCCTGCCTAATATACATCTAAACCTGCAGCAGCAGTGACTGAACTCTAAAATGTAAATTTTTACCATTCAAAGGCACTAAACGCATTCAGTGTTATCAGTTTGGCAGGAAAGAAGAAGAATTCCTGTGGAAATTAGGCTGGCCAATCCATATTTTACAGTGGTGATCTTGAATACCAAGCCTTTTTAGATTGTGGTGTCTTTAATTCTAGGATTAAGAGAGCTCGTCTGCAAGGTAGATAGCAAGCAGAACTTTTGATAAGTGACTTCTGGCTGTGATTTTGCTGTACTAGTCAACTGACAAGGAATTTTAATCTGAAAAGGTGGCACATGCTTCAGGTCTGGAATTTCCTCCTCCTTTCACCTCCTCTTTGTGTAAAGTAGCTTCAAGGCATGCGGTAAAAGACATCTAGTTGATAAGGCTTCTGGGAAGGGCTGAGAATACCACCCAGAATGAAAAGGAATAGGATTTGTTCTTTCATCTCTCTGATACCATAGAAATGTTTCCACTGTGTCAGGCTGCTGGTACACATTAGAAACTGGCTGTAAGTGTAATTGCTTTATAGGCCTCTGAACTATCTATGTTAAAACAACCAAGACAAAATTCAGAATCTGATGGGATTACAGAAATGCTGTTGAGGTATAGGGTGGTTACTATGCCTTGCAGAGAACACCTCACAGCATCATATGGGAATTTAACCACTGGAATTTTAAAACTAGGATTTGGATTAAAATCTGAACTTGTCTACATGGTCACTCTTTAAGTCAGTACTTCTCCTTTTGGAAGAACTAATTTTAAACCACATTGTGTCTTCAGTGCCATGAAAGAGGAAGGAAGA